ATGCATGCGAGCCTTCAATGATAATTGCTTTTGAAATAGCGGTTTTTATTATATTCCATACTTTCTCGCCGGTTTGCATAACCCGGCAATCAGTGAATTGTGTTCGTGCATTTCCAACACACTCTGTTGTGTGGCACAAAACGCGAATAAGACAAACGGCCGGCACGGGATAATTAAATACCCAAATTGCTTTCGAACTAAAAAGGATGCAGGCTTGAAGGGGGTATTTATTATCTCCGCCGACAAATTACGCAAATTAACAGACATTCCCTCTCTTCGGTCACACGTGGCAGAAATTCGCATTGTCCGCTGATGATTTAAAAATTTTAATTAAACTCACCAATTCCGAGAACGACTCTCGCAAAGGAAACGGGGCGCCGTCAAATCTTTTCATTTGAATCTAGGTACGTGTAGTTGTTTTTCAGTGGAACAACAATGGCTGCGGTCGAGTTGCCAATTTATATGGTCATACGCACCGGGCGAGCCGCGCAGAATTAATTGGCGAAAAACATGTTTCGCCGCACGCATCCACCAAGAGCGTCTCGACTACAGAGCCGCGAGCAGCAGCAGCTTGACCAGAAATAAAACGGCTCATACGTGAATTTTTTATTCCACCTCGCAGTCAGTCAAGCTTTCCTTAATGAAGAAGGCAAATTCAATAAAAGACAGAGAAAAAATCGACCTACAAAAGAGACGCTGGAGAAGGATGCAAAAAGATGTGAATGAATCAGCTAAATAAATAAAAATTACCGTTGGATAACCAGAAAGTTATCGAAAAGAGAAGGAAAAAAAATTCTAGTTTAATTTTGTGAAACTGGCAGATATGCTTTGGGTTTGGAAGGGTTCAATAAGATTTAATTTTTAATTATAATTCTCTTGCACTTTGATGACGAAAAAATGTAATTTATTTATTTCAATAATTTAAATCCTATATCACGACAAACTGAAATAAAGAATGAAAAAGTGAAATGATATTACCATGTAACTTCCATGTAAAAATTGTTAAATTAAATTAAACTGCAATCCTAATGACAAGAATTCAACAATTAGTATTAATTCTTTTTATTCTTATTACCCATTCAATAATGTATGATTATTTAAACCCACACTTTAAATCTTCTCAACATGGCCTTATTTTTTATTAGTCGAAAATTGCACGACGATAAAAAATATCCTTCCTCGAACGCGAGCACGAGAAGCTGGCCCAAGATGAAATAATAATCGAAATCTGCAGCTCGTGACTCCTGAATGTGAAAATAATAACTCAATAGACACACCGCAAATAAAAAAAAGTAACGAATTATTATTTCGTGTCGTAAAACGAGTTTCGGCAAAGTGCGATTGCGAGCCAGCGCTTTTGGTAATAATTGTAAAATAAGTGCACGTAATAAAAATTAAAAGCCACACACAAGCAACATCTCTTTTGCCTTCCTTACTGTTCAATGCAACCTGCACAACCAAGAGGGAACATAATCGACTGACCGCGTGTTTTATATAAATTTTTTCGTACTAATTGGCTGCTGTGACATGAACGCACTTTTGATTCGGCAGGAATTTATTCCTTCGACGCTCATTGTGTTTGGTTTTTCGAGTCGCGTATATTTTTCTTTTGACCACGATTGTGTGTGTGTTTGCCATTTCAAGACAATGGGGGCTAAATACACAGGCGTATACCGTACAGTACGGTGCCATTGTGTCCGAGCATTTTTAGGAGTGTTTGGGGTAATTAGCACGTTTGGTGCCGCAATGTGCGAGCTTCTGACTTGACATTCCAGCTGCTGAATCTTTTCCTTCTGCAGTCGGAAAGTCCCAGGACCACAAAGAGTTGCAATTAAAAAATTATGAACGTAGACAATTTCGTTTGTGTTTAGGAAAATTTGCGAAATCGCTCATGAGTGGAAAGGAGAGCGTTTCAGATTAAAAATTTAAATATCGTCGTAATCAAGTAAATTACTAAAACAAAAATTGTGACTTTGTCATTTTGCTCACTTGATTTTTTTTTTCAATATTATCTGATATTAATTTATAAATTCTTTTATAACTTGATTAATTTTTTTTACCGAGAAGAATAAATAATAATAATAATTATTGGATAGTACTCTCAAACTAATGTTTGACAACCGAGTTCAATTCTAAATTAGATAACAATTAAAATTTTTTATAGCAAGCCGATATTGTATCTTTACACTATCTCAATTGCTTTTCATTTAAGCTTGAGAAGAGTAAATTTTACTTCATAATCATTTTGAAATTAAAAAAAAAAAAAATAGTGAATTATATAAATATTATAAAATGAAAATGAGTAATAATTATTAACAAAAAATATTATTTGATAAATTATTTACTATTTATTGGCATTTAATTAAATTTTATTATTTGACCAAGCGATTGTGCTTTTTATTTGCTATTCAACTCATTTAATTTTTTTCAGCGGTAGCCAATCACTCCATTATTTTACACATCTCGCAGGCAGACACGAAACTCACGTTCGCCGCGCCGGTTAAATTTGACCCTCTTAGAACGCGCGGCCGGACTAACATTCTTCGTGTGCACTTGATCATGCAAAAAAGCGGCCCAGCGTTAATTTTCTCTTGCCAAAATCAGCCAGCTGGACGCACGAAGGCACAATAAACGCGAAGAGCAGCGGCAATTAAACCATCATTTCACGCACACCATTACGTGTGCTGTGTATTATATTCCGAGCGCCCTTCTTTTTATTTCGACCAATTGGTCCTTATTACACACGGATGCTGCGCCCAGAGCGGCGGTAATCAGCTGATTATTTCTGTGCCCAACCAAGTGTTACTTCCTTGAAATCGCTTAAAATCATTATTTTTGCAAAACGTCCAAATCGACTGCTGCCGGTTTATATATTCGAATGAAGTTTCGCACGCGAATGGACAGAGAAGAAAAAATAACAAATCAGTCGCGTGATGTTTCAACAAATCATCACGTAATTAACAATTTTATAAAAAAAAGCCATAAAATATTGCAGTTATTTGAAAGACAAGTAGCTTTTTTTATTTGGTACTTAATTTTTACTTGAATAAATTTCGTTTACCGAGGAGATTGTCTGTGAGAAAAACGGGATCAATTTGCCTCAAATATTCGAGGCTCCCCTTTGATTGCCGCGCGATAAGAAATGTGTGGCTCGGCAAGAACGTGTCCCCGCGCCGACCTGCTGAAGATGCTCCAATCTCGGTCCCCAAAGTATTTTTTCTTTTGTGTTTCTTTCTGCGCTTACACAACAATAGGGCCGACGCCAGCCGCATACCTCAGGAGCAGCAGACGGTCGCCTATTATTTTATTCGATTGGCGACAATTCTTTTCGGGGTTTCTTTTTGTTCTCCAGCACCATGTGTTAAATATTCACTCTAACGCAAAAAATAAAATATTTCTGGTATTTTTTTTACACAATTTAGATATTATAAATGGGGTCTCGATCCAAGAAGTGGTCAGCTAATGTGTCCTTCTCCTGGTGCAGGAAGGGGAGTGGCAAATTATTTCACGACGAAAGTTTAGAGGGAATTTCCTTTAAAAATGCAAAATGAAAAGGGAAAAGTTCACCTACCTGTGGCGAGTCGATGAGTGCGGCGAGTCGGCTACACTTCCGAGTGGTCGGCATGGCGAGAAAATCCACAATTAGCCGTAATTCGGCGAGATACGGGTGATATTTTTGCCCGATTCGCTATTTTTCTTCCCACGAGGAAGTTTCTGGAGACTTTGGCGCTTGGGCAGCCGGCGAGGGAAAAGGAAATGAGGGAGGGTTGGGAGGGAGATTCACAATGCAGCAGCATCGGAATGCGCTCCCACCCATCCACAACCCTCTCTTTCTCTTTTCACTCGCCGCTGCCCTTGTGCCCGACACGTCCTTGGAAGAAAGAATGTAGCAGAAAAGCGAAATTTTTCGTGAATCGCCACCATATCTCAACGAATTGAGTCAAACGTGGAATTTTTCTCGTCCAGCCGACACCACTCGGAAAATGCGCCGCACTCATAAACTGGACCCAGGTATGTGATTTTTGCTATTATTTGTGCAAATTAATAATTGTTTTTGTTGCTATTATTTGATCGTCATTTACACACGCTGGTGAAAATTCAAACTTTGCGCCTGGAAAACCAACAGTCAAATCAAAAGCGGTACTTGTTAATGATCCATCATGCGAGCGCTTCTGTTTCGGAAAAAATGTGTCATTATCGAGACCGCATTGGATATTATTTTGTTCATGAGACTGAATTTATAAAAAATATTTTCTATGATAATTGTTTTCAAATTGCAGCAATGAAAAGGATATTTAAGTTTAAATGATCGATTAACAATAAAAAAAAAATTATATTGAATGAAATAAGCGTCTAAATCCAAGATTCCCAATTGTTTTTTTCCATTTATACAAATTTGGCTACATAATATTATAAATTTGTATAAAAAGTCTGTAGGAAATCAATCAAAGGAGATTCAAAATTCAATTATAAATAAAATTAATTTAGCTCAATTTTATAAAAAATGATTGTTCGGATTATGCGTAATAATCATTTAAACTACTTTCCCATAGCTTATTTCATTTAATGTTTGTAGCAGCTCAGGTTAGATTGCCTGCATTTTTCTTAATGAATGGAGAAAAAACAAATAAATAAATAAAAATCCGTGGTCACAAAATAATTATGCTTCAAATTAATCGATGCATGAAATTAATCTCCTTATGAATAGAAGGTCGAAGCTCGAAAGCTGATACATTTTACCGAAATTAAAATTTCAATCGATGGAAGGAAATGTGTTTAAAAATCGTCTCCTTTTTTTAATCCGATTTAACTGCGTATACAAATTTTTACTAGGCCAAACTTTTTATAATATTATGACATATCGCAAAATTGAATGCTTTCGTACGGTGGTGCATCAGTAAAATTAATTGGCAACGAACTTTAAGACGTTTAAAAATTGAGAATTTTTATCAAAGAAATAAATTGTAAATTTTCATTAGTAGATGAATGATTGTACTTACCAATGAAGCAGTCAAAAAATCTGCGCCGAAAAGCACCGGAAGCACGTTGTCCGACACGGTAGCCACGCCCACCTGTTATCACGGGGTGGTTCCTTTGTTTGTGTTGGTCGTCGACGGCCGTCGTGCTGCAAAAAGTTCACCTCCGAATGTGCGCGTTCCAGGTTCACGTGTGCGAATCGACCGGCACTCACTGACACTGTCCGAAGAGACTGTCCGGAAGGAAGGAAAGGCAGCGGCGGATCAAGCGTGGTGCGAGCAAAGCGGAGGGAAAACACGGCGGGCGAGAACGACGTCTGGCATGGCACTGGTGAGTACAGCAAACACGCTTCTTTCTTCTCCCTTCCTCGCTCTCGCAGCTCCTCTCGGGCGGCTCAGGTGACCACGTGGACCTGAGCCGGGCCCCGCCGATGGAAGGGATCGATCGGTCAGGTACATATCTCGTGGCACAGGTAGCCGCCGAGCGTGCTAATCGCAAAGTAACGCGAGCAGAAAAAATATAAGCAAATACAAAATTAACTGTTTCCGAAAGTTTAAAAGAACGAAAAAGGAATGAACTGAATAATCATAGGGACAAATTAATTTCTAAAAAATAATAATGCCTGCAAATATTTGCACGCACTCCAGAGTGTTCGAGAATAACACGATTTAACGTCAGAGGAAAAAATTATGTTATATCAATGTGTTTTCGCATCTTTGCGTTGGCCATGGTGTTGCCATTTTTATCATTTTGTCGCATAATTTCTAAAGCGTTCAAATTAAATTTTTTTAACATCACGGATTTTCTTTCATTTGCGGAACGATCAAAGTGCGTCTTTTTTAAAATTGTTTGTAATAATTTTTTGTAATTTGTAATGATATCTTGTACTCCTGTATGGTCTAGTGGCAAGGATACCTAGATTAAATCTAGGAGGCTTGGGTTCAATTCCCGGTGCGGGTATTTTTTATGCAAAATTCTTGCTAGTTTTCGTAAAGTACTCGCTAGTTTTATTAAAATTATTGCTAGTCTTAGCAAAATTCATGCTAGATGCTGGTGCCGTTTTCCGTTTTGACTGGTTTTGACCAACAACCTTTTTTAAATAACAGTAATTCGGGGTTTCAAATTAATGTGTTTATTGTTATTAATTATATCAAGAATAAATCACTATGCAATATTATTGAGTATCCTTTTTAAAATTTTGTGAGAAAAGTTTAGGGAAAAAATTGTATAATTTGCAAAAAGACAAATTATTTAAATTAAAATAAATGAAAAACATTACAAATTAGTAGTTATGGAGAAATGTAAAAAAAATTATTGAATACTCAACAAATTATAATTTTTTTTTAATTTTTTTTCTTTTGCTATGTCTTAAGATTCCCAAATCATTTTAGGCACCGTTATTGACTATATCTTTATGCAAGCAACATTTCGTCCTTTTAAATCAACAAGATCTTTGATTAATTGTTATTTATTTAATTTAAACATCCACAGAATGCAGCAAGAGCATTATTTTCTTTTTCACCTGTCCCGCTAGAAACACAGAATTAGAAAAAATGCGGTCCACGTTAACAAGAAAAATCTGAATTTAATTGGCCGCTGTCATTCAAAATTAATCAGCTCCACTTTCCTATTCACAACAATCAATGGGCCGCTGCGTGCATCGCCACACGTTGTGTAAATCTGGCGGCGCCGAGCGGCTTCTCAAGAGTGAATGTGGTGTTTTGCCCGTGGGCCCAAAACATCTCCATTCAACTCTGCAGCGCGAGATGCAACAGCCCGAAAACTAGTTCCACGCACGTGTGCAGTGCATATGGGATTTGATTAAAAATTAAGGTGTGAACTCACGAAAAATATAAAAGAGTTGATTGAATTCTCTTGTTTTGTTGGCGCGGAATACTTTTGATTCCGGGCTGTGAAAAGTTCAGCAACGTCAACGTGAATTACTCACACCTGACAGCAATGGAAATGCTCGCTTTCCGAGAGAAGATTAGTGCCACTAATTCCTCGCGTTTGTTTTGAAATCGGGTTTGATTTAGCATATCTGACAGCAAGCATCCTCGTGATGGCTTTATTTGTGGGAAATTCGCATGAGCTACGTAGAGTCTTTAAAGGTCACTTCGAATAATTTTAAGAAATATTTTATTTAAAAAATTATAATATAAAAAAAGAAACGTAGCATTTAAATTTGTATAGGTTGTCTTTGTTCCTTAAATACAATTAGTGTCCTCTGGCCTCTGGTAAATCGAAATAAGAAAAGGAAGAATAATTTATTTTAGTATAAAATAATTTATTTAGTCCTGTATAGGTGCATGAAATGATTTTTGTTGTGAGTTTTATTTGCAGTTTACTCTTTTAATGTATGAAATTTTTTTATTAATAATATCAAAAGTGTCAAGACCTCTATTTTTAATCTTTTCCAATTAACATTTTTGTGGCAGAATTTATATTTTTGTACATTTATGTTTAAAAATAACTTTGGTGAGAAAATTTGTGAAATTTATCAAGAAGTGCAACCTCTCACATAATCGATCAAAAGTTGTCCCGAAAGATAAAATCCGCTAGAAGAAGAGACTTTCTGCCATTGCCCAATCGAAAAATAAAATTCCTCAGATGAAAGATAATCTGCGCGAAAGAATCTATTAAGCGAAAAGCTCGGCCATGTCTCACTCTCTTGCAGCAGCTGTAAAACGATTCTCACGAATAAATAAGCAGCATCTTTAACTCTTTCTTTGTTACACTCAAAGCATAGTGACATTTTTTGCCTTTGTTTTGATGCAATCAGCCGCGTGGTGTGTGTGTTGTTATTTTAAATTATGCTCTTGGCAACGCCAGATGACAATGAAATACCTTTTGAATCCAGTTTTCTTATTTGCCTCTTCACTCGCTCGCGCACACAACAACACGGACACACAGAGCACTCACTCACTCATAACCTTATAATTTGATTTTCATACATGCATGTGTGCACAGGGATTATTATTTAGGGCGATTCAAATCTCAAAATGATCAATATTATTATTATTGTTGATTTGCCCAAATTGCTACATCATACATTGTTTACATTCAATTGTCGAAAACAATTGATTTGAGAAAAAAGGAAAATGTAGGACAAAACTGCACCGCCAGTATCAAGATTTTTGCTACAACTTCCAAGGTCAGAAATACCCCATCCGCCGCAGTGAGCCTCCATTGACTCGGTTTTGTCTTCTTATCAATTATTTTTGCTGTTTTATTTAAATTTGATTTTATTTATTTTATGGTTTACTTATTTTATTTTAGGTAAAAATATTGTGTTATCCTGTAGTTCCACTTGTATTAGTCCTCCTTGGTGTGCTTACAAGTTTATTTTTTCTCATTTTCTTTATTGAGAAAAATAATGCGTAATATAATTGCAACTAGTTAGTTTGGTTGTTCGGATGCTGGACGATGAAATCTTTAAAAAGGAGGAAAGGAAGGTTGGGAATGAAGATTTAAGGTATTAAGTTTTCATTAGGTTTTGGAAATTTATAGGTTAGGTCTAGTCTGGGCTAGACGTTTTAGCATTTGATACAGTTTTTATTTATTACAGAGTTTATCCAAACTTAGTTTTTTTTATTTTAAATAATGAGACGATGAATATAATGCAATTTTTCAACAATATATGACTGACAATGAGTAATTAAAAAAGATATTATTCAAGAAATCAAGTTAAAATAAACTTTTCCGTATTATTATTATTTTTAACTGCATTAATTATTGAATAAGACCAGTCTTTTTGGCCTTCGAGTGAGTTTGAATGGCCCTATTTTAAAATATTTTTCATCATTGTTATACGCCTGCATGTGCTCTCAGGACTTTTATATTTTGCCGATCCGCATCAGCACTTTTCTTTGCTCTGTTCTGGCGGCAAATAATAAATGTTGCGGATTGATTGAGACAAGAAGTCCCAGCGTTATTCGAGAGAGCTGGAGTGTTGAAGGGCAGGTATTTTGTCATTTCGTCAACTCGCAACACTGAAACCCTTTTCTCCGGCCTTTATTATTCAATATCTCGCCGCTGAAATGATTTATCAATGTCAATGGTGCTTGTATTTATGCTCGCTTAATTGGTTGTATTTTCTTTATTCTTCAGCGACGTTCGGAGACGATTTTCCACTTTATAGGCGTGCGAGTCATTTTTTACCCGAGGGCCGAGGCTCGATTACGAGCACGCGGAGATATTGAGCAACTTTGAAACGGATTGACGAGTAATTGATGTGTGCCTCGAGATTCAAACACGTGGCTGCAATCAACGGGTTGAACACATTTAATAGGATGTCTGCTGACACCTTTCAAGCCAAAGCACAGGTCGGTTGGCAAGGGGTCGTGGATTTATTTGCAAAAAATCAGGTGAAAAGAACACAAAATTTGACGGATTTTGGCGTGGAAAAAACTCGGAAAAGTCAAAAGCTTTCCCGGAAAAACGCTACTGTAGTTTCAACTTAAAAATAGAATATCTCGGGTTCTAATTGAGATGCAGAAATGCGGCTAGCACCAAAAAATTTCTTTTTACCTCCTCTTCAATCCTGAGGGGTCAAATAATCCAGAGGTCAAAGGTCAATGTCATTTTTCAGGGGTCACAAGTACAAAAAAAATTCTAGCAAAAATATGCCACCTTCGATTGGGCTGAAATTTTTTTCTAAGATAGTCCTAACATGTAGAAACAACATATTAAAAATTCAGAATGGCATATTTTTTAGATTTTTTATAAAAAAATCACAAAGGTAAAAAAACGTGAATTTTTCGCATTTTGCTCATGATCAAAAATTTATTTTGAGAAAATACGTATCTAAAATGGGTAAATTTATTTATTTATTGACAAAAAATTCCTAAATTTTCAAAAAATTTCTTAAAAATTCTAAAAATCAATATCCGACCATTGGCAAAATACGAAAAATTCACTTTTTTTTACCTTTGTGATTTTTTTATAAAAAATCTAAAAAATATGCCATTCTGAATTTTTAATATGTTGTTCCTACATGTTAGGACTATCTTAGAAAAAAATTTCAGCCCAATCGAAGGTGGCATATTTTTGCTAGAATTTTTTTTGTGCTTGTGACCCCTGAAAAATGACCTTGACCTTTGACCTCTGGATTATTTGACCCCTCAGGATTGAAGAGGAGGTAAAAAGAAAATTTTTTGTGCTAGCCGCATTTCTGTATCTCAATTAGAACCCGAGATATTCCATTTTTAAGTTGAAACTACAGTAGCGTTTTTCCGGGAAAGCTTTTGACTTTTCCGAGTTTTTTCCACGCCAAAATCCGTCAAATTTTGTGTTCTTTTCACCTGATTTTTTGCAAATAAATCCACGACCC